TTCCCTCAACACTGTCCAACTATTTACCAAGTCTGCACTACTATTACTATTAATCTTCTCATCACCCCTTATCACCCATCCCCTCCTACTTATGACTGTATGACTGTAACTTTGTTGCTTGTATCCTTACTATTTATATTGACTGTTTCCTAATATGATTTGATTGCCTATGACTATTATTAAGTGTTGTACCTTGTGATTCTTGACAAACGTATTTTTTCATTATGTACACTGAGAGCATATGCCCCAAGACAAATTCCTTGTGTGTCCAATCACACTTGGCCAATAAAGAATTACATTCTATTCTATTTATTCTAACTGTCCAAGATGGGACTAGAAATGTCCAAGATGGGACTAGAAATCACAATCTCCTGGTTTCTAGCCTGGTGTCTTAGCACTAGACCCTCCAACATTGTTAATGGTAAGGTATCAAATTGTAGTAGTGTAAAGGCCTCTCCAGAGTTTGTTATTAGTAGCCAGATGTAATGATGGTTTAAAATGAAATTGACTATGCCCCAATTGAGCTGAAGTAATATATTGGTATATTCTGTTTGAAATTTTATGTCAAGAATTTTTTGTTTAAGAGTGACCATTGCCTGATCATGACTCAGATGCATCAGCATCTTACTGACTCCAGGTTATGTAATTTGTTATTTATATGGAATTTCAAAAAAGGAATAATTATCCGAAAGTCTAAGCAATACCAGACCTCAGGACAGCATATGACAATACAAAACATTTAAATGTTCAAATATCTGTGATGTTAGCTTGTTTATATATCCCCTTTGAAATTTTTTAATGACAATTCTGGATTTTAAAAAAATATTTATATAAAACAGCATGTATTGAGATCCCATGAATGTTTTATCTGGGTGTTCAACTCTGAATTCATAATGGAGTATAACAATCCCTTTGTTCTTATTGATGGAACAAGATTTGATGAGTAAAAATACATGTACAACATGAATCTGTCCGCCATGTATTTTTATATGGCAATCTTGTTTGACATATCTTAACTGGAACAATCTTCAGCCCATAATCCTTTTAAAGAGGCAAAGTTCTGTCACCTGAATAAACCTGCTATAGTTTTGGCAGAATATATTATAGACTGGTTTTTCATGTGAATTGGAATTCTTGACTGCGAGGTCAAATAAAATTTTCATATATTTTTTTATCCAAAAATGTGTAAACTTTTGAGTTTGAAAATTCAAAGGTGTTTTATTTTTGCTTTCCGGTGGTATACTATGATATTAACATAATAAAGATCCCTAAAATGAAATTAAAGAATTCTTATCTGTAAGGATGTGCCATAGAATTCCTGAATCTGATATTACATTCATTGTTTTTTTTAGCATCTATATCAATATGTTGCTTTTGAATATCTAAAAAATATGAGGATAATGGCCAGCAAAGGATACCTTTCAGAATTACCTTTATGCAGAAAGGCCTACTATTAATTAGCAGCTGTGGTTATTGTTGTTGTTGCTGTTGTATTGATTAATAGTATTATTAAAACCCACTCAAATTTGTGGAAGCTATGACTGGGGGTAGAACTCTTTTTCAATGTCCTCAAGTTGTTCTTTATAATATAGATGAAAAAAGGTGTAAAAGAAAGACAGGAAGTTTGAAGAATAACAGGAAACCTCAAGTTTGGTTAGTGGGGCTATGAAACCCCACCAGGGTTGAGACAGGCAGCAATGCCCCATCTAACATTACCCAGGTGGTGCTAGGCTGGATTTCATGCCTCTCCACCACAAACTTTGTAAACTGTCAGTGGAAAAAGCCAGCTCTTGTTCTTTGTTTTTGAGTAAGAGGATCTATATCTAACCTATCTGGATTAAGAAATATAATGGTCACTTCAAATCTAGTCATGAAGCAGTAAGCCAATTGGCTAGTCAATACTGTCACAAGATTCTTTCCATTATGCTGAGAAAGGAGAATCACTTTTGCTTTGGCTGTTTTTTTGTTTCTGTTTTAATATTGTATCTCAGTGGGGACTTTGCAGCGTCCAGCAAGCCTTATGACATGTCAGGTCATTACTGCTTCTAATCTGTTAGTCCTCCTGGGGCAGATTTTCTTGTTTGGGCACACAGTGGCATAATTGGGAATGCTTGTTTCTTTAGTAAAACCATTTTATTGTGGGACAGAATACATTCTTGGAAACTCTTGCATCATCGAAACAAAAATATTACAGAAATTTTCTCTTCAAGCTTTCCTCTTCATTTTACAAATGGAACAATTTTATTTGGGACAATATTTAACTCATCTAATCAGCAAGTGACATATATGTCTGCCAAGCTATAGAGGTAATAAATGATGTAGATGAAGGAATTAAGAGGCACTCATCAAATTTGTGGATGACATTAAAATGCTAAGACTTTGGAAGATAGGTTCTTGACAAAAGTGAGCATAGGGCCCTATGCAGCAAAATGCAGTTCAGTGGTTGGAAAAAAAGTTAGGTCTTGCACTGAGGCAGGAAAAAAACCAATGCATAGGTACAGAATAGGCAGTACCTGGCTCAACAGTAGAACCTATGAGAGGGATCTAGGTGTCCAAGGGGACCACTACTTAACAATGAGCCAGCAGTGTGTGCAGCTGCAAAAAAACAAAAACCAACAGAATCCTAGGCTGCATCAAAAGGGAGATAGCATCAAGATCATGAGAAGTGATAGTACTGCTCTACAGTGTACTAAGGCCACACTTAGAACACTGCATCCACCAAGATACAAAAAAGATGCTGAGGCCCTAGAAAGAGTGCAGAGAAAAGCAACAAAGATGCTAAGGGGTCTGAAGACTAAACCATTATCCAGCTAAAGATACTAGGAATGTATAGCCTAATGAAGAGAAGCCTTAGGAGTGACATGACAGCTGTCTTTCAATATTTGAGTGTCACAGGGGTTTGATTTATTCTACAAAGCACTGGAAGGCATGATAAGAAGTGATAGGTAGAAGTTCATCTGAGGGAGACCCAATCTGGAACTAACAATTTATCTATGGAACAGCTTTCCTCTCAGAGTTATGAGTGTTTCATTGCTGGAAGTTTTCAAGAAAAGATTGGATATTCATTTAAATGGGATTGATTGACTTCTGCTTTGGGCAGCGGGTGGACTAGAAGACTTCCAAGATCCTTCCATCCTATGATATAATTTTAAGACCAGGTATCTGATTTCTCCTGGTCACAGAGGTAAGGTCTAGGATCCTGCTGGGAGGAGCACATTTCTGTAGGCTCAATCAGTCTACAGGAACTCTGTAGATACAAAATTTGGCTATTATCAAGATACATGCTATTATCAAGATACAATTTTAAAATTAAAACAAGTTGAGAGAACATGGAAAGATATTTTAAAATAAATAGTAACAATAAATAATAACCAATATGGTCTACCTCCATCATGGCTGGGAGGTAATAAAGCTTGTATCATGAGAACATGCCCTTTATATCCAAGCTGTATTGGAAATCATACAATATTTTTATACATACTTAATCAGATCCACATATGTTGCAGTGGACAGACTAGCAACCACATTTACATCAACTGCAACTTCTGCACGTTTTTTAAATGTTCCTGACAGAGGTGCATTGCAATAATCAAAACAGAAGGTAGCCAAAATAACTAACATCCTCACAAAATCTGGCAATCTTGGGATAATTGTTTTCTCCAAAATCATAATTTCTACTGAATACATGATAGGGAGGATTTGCCCCAAGCTGCTTTAAAACTAGTTCCATAATTTCCCAGATATCTTTTATTCATTAATTAAATGTATTTAATTATTAAATGTATGTGTCTCCCATCTCAATGTTGGAGGAACTCTGAGTGACTTTGGGTTTAGACTACAACTCCAAGAATTATACAGGTGTTACTGTTGAATCAATTTGAGAAAAGTGTCATTTTTAGAGAGTTCATATCCTTTTTCCTTTGTAGGATCATCAGTTATCTTCCATTGGATTTGAACTTTCCATTGGATTTGCTGCTAAATACAGTAAAATCATGCATGGGATTAGTAACACTTTTTGATAAAAGCCAATGAGCTCAACTGAATTTATTAATAGACCATATATTTGAGGTGAGAGGAGCTTTTTCTAACAGTCCAATGATTCGCGTAGAGATTTTAAAAAAATATTTAGTTTTTCAGATGATCCACAAAATCAATAAACTGCAATAAATACATTGAAGCCAACTCCTTAAAAGTAAGCAAAGGCCAAACAATTCCATTTGGACTTATTTGGAAGTTCACAGAAGCCTTATGAATCTGTCCTCCCCCCCCGCCCCCCCCAAATAAAAATAAAAATCTGGGAATACTCTCTCAGGCTTTTTACTTGCCATTGCCTTTTGTTTACCTGCTGCCTTTTAAGGCTGCAAAATTCCATTTAAACAATATGGTGTCCTCCACTTGCCTCCTGCTTATCATCTCATCTCTCTTCAAGTTCAAAAACACAAGTAGTTTACTGATTCTCCCGCTTGTTAACGTATATTTGTAGTTAGTAGTTGACCCAAAGAAGACAATTCAATACAGGTTGGGCATACTTTCCTGTTTCAAGGGTTAAGAGTCTGGGGAAGCTGTATGGAACACCGCTGTATGGAAACCCATTAAATAATGTGCATTCTAATATAAGTGTTTTTGCTTTTATTGATGAAAGTTCTAACATTGTAGAGATTTGCTGATTGTTCTTCAGTTCCTCTCCCAAAACCAATGGAAGTGACTGATCAGGTGACATGTCATTGTGCAAGGTGATTCATGTTTGAACTTAAATTTTCCATAATTTAAGAGCACGTGATTTTACACCTCATTATTACACTAGAAATGAAGATGCACTTGATTATATCCAAATTGCCTTAAAATATTTCACTTTGGTTCCACAACATGTTTCAAACATGGCCTCAGTCTGCAATACTTTCCAAGGCCTTATTTTTACAATCTGCCAGTCAATGTGGAAAAAGAATTTGAACCCAAAAAAACACAAAATATGTCAGACAATTATTTTTTAAAAAAACTTTATAACTACATTTAAAAATCCTTGAATGCCAAAACATTTCAGAAAAACTATTGGGAATTATATATTCATTTTACTGTTAAATAAAGCCTGTCACAATGGTTAACCTAATTTGCCTAGAATTAAGCTAAAATAGGAGCATTCCACCAATGTGCTCTCAAAAAAGGGTTTGACTAATATGGAGGGAAAACATTACACAAATTATCTCTTATATGCTTTTTTTTTCTTTATTATCTGCAGGAAGAAAAAAATATCTACTTTGGGGTAGAATCCAGCCCCGTCTCATATTTTTATATTCTCTGTTAAAGTTTAGAACAATACGTACTTAATGGAACTTACGAAGTTATATGCTTCTGTATCAAATATGAAATGTTGGAAGAATATTTAATAATATTTAATAATATATTCAATCCTGTTTTGGGTAGAAGCATTTTTGAATATAAAGGATACTCGAAATCATATTGGAGAATTTCTTCAATTTCTTCTCTAATGATTTTAATCTCCTTCACTCATTATTTCTGAAGTAGCAAAAAGTAGCCAGTAAATAAAACCTAAAAAAAAACCTGTGTCAAACTTCAAGCAACAATTAACAGTTAATTAAAATCCTAAGACCGATTCATTCCACAGCATGTCCTCTTCTGTAACTGCACTGGTTTCATGTTTCTTTTTCTCCTTCTTGTGTCTTTTGCTTTTCTTTTCAGAAGAACGATCTTTACTTCCCTTTACTTTACCGTGCTTTGATTTTGACCCAGCTATATGACTTTTTTTCTTTTTCTTCTTACCATCTTTTTCTAACTCTGTATCTTGATTGTCTCCTGCTCTTTTAAGAGTTGAACGATCTCCTTCTCCCTCTTGTGGCCGTTCTTTTTTGGCTCTTGATTTCTTTGGCAGCTTACGGCTTCCCTTGTCAGTACTAGAGCTATTTGAAAACAAAGACTTGTAGCTGTCCGTAGATTTGGCTGATAGTGGTTTGTAGTTGTCATTTCTGTAGATAGTTAACCGAGGCACTTGCTTTTGAGAATCAGTGTCTGTGTTGTATGTACATACATTTTCTAGTTTTACTGGGTATTTTTGCACTGGTGGGTGTGCCACTCTGCTTCCAACAGAATATGAACCTGTGTCCATTTCTGGAAAAAAAGTGGAATGCTGACTTGGTTCGTAAACATTTCTTGAAAGAAAACCTTGGTCAGATGCAAAGGTCTCCTCATGACCATTAATGGCTTCACACATTTTTTGTTCGGCCTTTCTAAAATTAATGTTTGGTTCCAGTCCTCTTGCTTTTTGTACTTTGATGTAATCTGCCAATTCATCTTGGAATGAACTGTTTGTATTATTGGAATTCTTCATCAGAGAAGTGGCAATCATATTTTCTCTAAAACAAATAATAAATAAAGTATGAGAAAATTTTAATGGCTTTAATGCTACCTTAGTATCATTAATCCCACTCCTGAGACTCATGTATACAATCCTATAAAATCAATAGGAATTAGTTCTTTATTTTTCCTGATTTAGTGCCCTCTAGATAAGTTCTTTGTTAATTTTATAAATCTCACCTTTATCACTTTTAAAAATTAGTCAAGCAGGCAAACACATCCATTATACCTTCCCCCCTTTCTTCATCCCTTTGAGGTGAGCTGGATTGAGAGAGAAAATGACCTGTCAGCTGGATAAGGTGGGACTTGAACTCACATTTTTCTGCTTTCTAGCCTGGCTTCTTAACCAGTAAACCAAACCAGCTCTCTATAGGCTGTACTACGTGCTAGATGGAAAGTTTGGGAGTAATTGTCTACCATATGCTTGAATATAAATCAACTTCTGGTGATTTCAAGAATATGTTAAAAAGTATGTAATTTTCCTGGCAATAGTATCAGGTTGTCATGCCTTTTCCCCTGATGGTTTCCCTCCCCAAATATTAATCAAGCCTGATATTGAAAAATTGATCTTTATTCTTTACAGAACATCTATACCTCCAGAAATAAGCAAATTACCTGACTATGGGGGACACATTTCCCTGCATTCATATTTTTAAATATACAAATACACACACACACATGCACACACAGACACACTTCCAGCATTCATTTATTTGAATTTATTAGCTGCTAAATTCCAATGGATTCTTGGACAATTATTTTTCCTGTTGCCTTTGAATCTTATATCTTGTTTTGGACATCTGTAAGACAAGCTGATTGTTTTGCCTCAATTCAAATGTGTCAGTTGTGAAACTCTTACTGCATCATGAGTGGAGGGTAGGTCTGCGTATCAGCTATAGAAAATAACCACGGTGGTGGTGGTGGTGGTACATGTGTCCTGAAAACCTCCAAATATTATTGTACTACACAGTGGTGGGATTCAAAAAAATTTACTACCAGTTTTGTGGGCGTGGCTTGGTGGGCGTGGTGTGGCTTGGTGGGCATGACAGGGGAGGATACTATAAAATCCCCATTCCCTTCCCACTCCAGGGGAAGGATACTATAAAATCCCCACTCTCCACTCCCTCCCCACCCCACTAACCTGCTTTCCAGCTCTGTTCTCATGTGCAGGGCAACAAAAAAAGACCCAGTCAATCAGCTGGGACTCGGGAGGCAGATAATAGTTGGGGTTGGGGCCAATCAGAGGTGGTATTTGCCAATTCTCCGAACTACTCAAAAATTCCACTACTGGTTCCCAAGAACTGGTCAGAACCTGCTGAATACCACCTCTGGTACTACATCACGGTTAATGATAAGAGTTCTATCCCAAAATATTTAGAGAGCCAGAGATTTCTTACCTTTGAAGAGCAAAGAAAGAAAAATTTCCTTAGAAAACATTTTTCCTAATGTTAGTGCTATGGAAAATTAGCTAAGGAAAAAAAGAACTACGGAAAAGCAATTGTTGCATCCAGCCTTCAGGGCAAAGAATAAACCACATTTCAAGAGCAGAGGAACATTACTTGATTTCTAGTGATAAAGTTAATTTGCAGTGAACTTTGTTCACATTCTTTCTCTGCAATTCTAACCATCAATTTTTGTTTTGCTCAGTATCCACACTCTCATACTGAAATTCTTGAAGTTTCAGCACAGCTCCTCAATCACTGATAGAGGGCCAGGAAAATACTTACTTAATCTGATGCTTATTTCCTTGCATGTGTGACTGGTACATCTCTATGGATGTGAGGCTGATATTGCATGTTGTACATACATAGTTGCCCACGCCAAGTGCTGCAAAAAAGAGCAACAAGTTAAAAGAAAATGCAGTAAAAACAATGCCCTTTCTCCCAAATAAAAGACATCTTATGGGAAATATTTGTAAAGTTGTTCTATCATGGGCCATAGTTTAGACTCAGAATCCGATTCTGACAACGCTGCTCCAGATGAACATGTGCATTGTCAACTTCAGGAATCATCAAGTCATGATGCAGATGAGGCTGATCCATGATAGGCACCTCCCGATAAGCTGAAGCAATCAGATGATGAGGCATGACACCCAAGCCCCAGATTTTGATGGATCCAATGGCAAGCAGTTATGTAACTCAACAAGGCAAAATGTGAGGCCTATGTAATTGTAGTCAACTGCCATAGATGGATTTATGTAGGTGCCTTGCCTTTAGTCTTCATTCTTTTCAAAATTCAAGCTTGTGACTCTTGTTCATATGTTTCCATTTTTGAATCTTTAAACTACTGGACTTCCTGACTTGGCTCTTTGACTTCTGGAATGACTTTGGACCATTCTCTTAATATTTGAACTATTTGAATGGAAATATTCAGACAAACATTTTTTGCAAATAAGATTCATGATCTTATTTATTATTATCTGCCTGGCTATGATAAAAAATTATTCAGCAACTCTGTCTGCTTTGGTGTGTCTGCAGCCTGAACCTAAGCCTGAAAAAAAACACCTACATATTATCTGATAGCTTCAATATAAAAGAATAGAAAGTATTGCAAACACACTGTCATGATCAAATTGTTACTGTAATAGAAAATGTCTGACTGAAGTTAGGCAACAATATATTGGATTTTAAGAAAAGTACAGAGAAACAGCCAAAGAAAGAAAGGAATTCCCTTTATCAGAGTCACTGGACTCTGAAAGGAAGATGTCCAGCTATGGCCAGCATATGGAAGGAAAGGTTGATGGTATACCTTGGTTCAGAGCCATACTCACTTGATATAAAGGAGAATATTCATTTTGATGCTGCTTACCATTGGTTTTGGACTCCAGAGGTATAGCCTGAGTTCCAATCTCAGCCACCAATTTCTTACGTAATTCATTTCTTTTGTGCTTTTTTCCTACATAGTGTTGATGGGCCATAAACGAGTTGTTGAAAGGTGCGGAACAGAGTTTGCAATATTTATCTGGATCATCTAAATCCAAAGCAGTTCTACTAGATAAATATAAGTCCTCAGAATTAACATCCTGTTGCAAGTTCTTTTCAAGAGATGCCTCTGGCAGAATTGGAGTTGCAGAGGAATCTGTGAAAAAGAGCCATGAAGAAAGATTAGTCTCCTCATGGAAAACAATCAGAACAAAAAGTGTCAACCTGTCAGAATTTGAAATGGACTTTTTAAAGAACCACTAGACTGCCTTTAAGAAAATATAGCCATCTTTGTATCCAATTTGTCAACTGACAAATTATTGTGAATGGCATCTCCTTAAGTTATTCAGGTAAGTTACTGATTCTTTCCTTTCTTACTCTGTTGTATGAAATTACAAGGAGAAAAGAACAAAGAGAAATATGTAAGAGTAACAAAATAAGGACATTTAATGTGATTTGTTTTTCAGCTGCATTTGTACTATGATTAAAGCAATCCATTCTTCATCTTCTCACTAAAATAGCTGACAAAAAAGAGAATGCATTAATTATTAGATCTTTACCATGTTCTGACTGCACATTCTGTATGGGCGGAGTCTGATCTGATAACTGCTTCAGTTTTTTGGCATGAATCTTTCCCAAATAGTGTGATTGAGCAACAACTGGAGATGTGAAGACCATGTTGCAAAGTCTGCAATACATATTTTTGTCCATATTTGGATTCTCCTGAAATCAAAGTGAAAAGCTATTTAATACACTATAATAATAGATTGGCTGAACTTTTGAGATGTCAAATTCTGCCCCGGGCAAGAATCTAAAGTAAAGCATCTTTGGATAATTTAGTTATCCAGTTTCTGCTTGAAGACACCCAACAAAGTTAGGCATCAGTTTATTTGTCCATAGATAAATTTACCATGGTCATCAATGTTTTCCTTTCTCACTCATGATGTTCAAGACAGAGACAAAGAATGGCTAGCTGCAGGATGGAATTAAAAACATCTTCTAAATAAGAAAATGATACTACTTTCTTTTTTATCATTAGTTAGCTTTATCATAGGAACATGTGTGGACCGTTGAGAAAACTGAATTGAGGCTACAGTAAAGAGAAACAAGGTTAGGGTAAATGTGAGCTGGATTAGCAGTTGTATATGAGGGGTCTTTTATCTTTCTCTCTGTCATGACACAGCCTCAGATAATGCCAGAGTCGGATAAAAATATGCTACAAGGCACAAATCCTGTGCCCCATATGTAACCATCCTATTGATGTAGATGGGATAACTTTACCTGGAAATTCAAATGCAGCTTGTCCTTTTGTTCATTATGCATTTGTAAATAGAGTCGTACTTTTTGTGCATGTCTTTTGCCCTGAAAAGCAAAAGTGTCAATTTTATATCAAACCAAGCCTTCAAAAATATGTAAAAACAATTGTATAAAAATACACATCACCCAAGAGCAGAGCCTTTAAGTACCCAGTGATTTACAGCTACATTGGGTGACTGGTGTGTGCTGTAGTGGAGGCTATTAATAGAAGCATAGCTACGGCAACATATTATACTGAATTTCTAATTACAAAATTACTTGTCAGTTCATAATGGAGGGCTATGCAGTACGCCATCTGACATGCCAAGTTAAGGATTATTTTATGCATAGCACTTGTATTGGGATTGATCAGTGCCACCTGTTGGTCTTCCTGTTCTAAGGGGCTGCCACAAAGAAGAGGGAAGAGGTGTATCAACCTATTATCCAGAGCTTCTGAAGGCAAGACAAGAAGTAATGGGTGGAAACTAGCCAAGGAGAGAGGTAACCTAGAACTAAGAAGAAATTTCCTGACAGAATAGTTAATCAATGGAGTAACTTGCCTCCAGAAGTTGTGAATGCTCCAACACTGAAGGTTTTAAGAAGAGATTGTACAATCATTTTCTGAAATGTTATAGGGTTTCCTGCTTGAGGAGCAGGTTGGATTAGAAGAGCTCAAAGGTTCCTTCTAATTCTGCTATTCTGTTGTATTATTAATTTTTGCTGATTTTAAACTGTGTGAACCAACCTCAGTACTGTGAATGTAGCAAAAGAGAAATATTCATTTTTGAATTTTAAAAATAAGCAGATTTGCTTACTGCTACATATTTTCAGACAACGCTTAGGATTCAACTGGTGAACCTTAGATGAATCGGGAATGTTTCAGAGGCTGGTTCCATATGATACGTAATGACTGGTTTGAACTTCATGGCTTTATTCTGGTAGGGCCACTGGATAAAATAAGGGAATAAATACAGGTAGTCCTCAACTTACAACAGTTCATTAAATGACTGGTCAAAGTTACAACAGCACTGAGAGAAGGGACTTATGACTGTTTTTCCCATTTATTTATATCCCCATGGTCACATGATCAAAATTCAGACACTTGGCAACTGACTCATATTTATGACTTTGTAGTGTTCTGGGGCAGAGGTGGTATTCAGCAGGCTCTGACCAGTTCTGGAGAAGCGGTAGTGGAAATTTTGAGTGGTACTGAGAACCGGCAAATACTACCTCTAACTGGCCCTGCCCCATCTATTCTCTGCCACCTGAGTCCCAGCTGATTGGCTGGGTCTTCTTTTGTTGCCCTGCACAGGAGAACAGAGTTGGAAAGCAGGTTAGTGGGGTGGGGAGGGAATGGGATTTTGCAATATCCTTCCCCTGTCATGCCCACCAAGACACGCCCACAGAACTGGTAGTAAACATTCTTGAATCCCATCGCTGTTCTGGAATCATGTAACCACTTTGCAACCTTCTGACAAGCAAAGCCAATTGGGAAGCCAGATTTGCTGAACTATTGTGTCACTAACTTGACAACTGCACTTAACAACTATTGCAAGAAAGGTTGTGAAATGGGGCAAAATTCACTTAACAAATGTCTCATTTCCCAACAGAAATTTTGAGCTCAGTTGTGGTTGTAAGTGGAGGACTACCTGCATTAGGTAAGTTAAAAAAAAACTTTTGTTTATGTGAAGCATTAAAAAATACTCCAGATTAGGAGGCCAGCTTGATGAGATGAGATCTGTTGAAGAATGAAATGACTGCCGGTAGCTTTTTGTTTAACAGGTAGTCACAGTTCTTCAATGCATAGTTAAGTTTTTTTTTAAAGAACACCCGATTTGTTTATAAAAGTATCTTAGTCAGTAAAAGCAGAATCCTCCATATCTGGAGAAAAGTGGGGTCATAAAATCTCATTGACATGTTCTGTATTAAAGCTTACCTCATAGTGTGCTATTCGTTGAGATTCAAACTGCAGTACAGCCCCACACACTTTACAGTAAGTGTCTGTGCAAAGTTCTTTTCTTGTCATCTCATCTAAAATATCATCTAAAATGAATGGTTATGGATTTAATTGATAACTAGAATGAGAGTGTCTTATTTATAAAAAAAAACATATTAGAAAACTTAAATACAAGATGGTGCAATTTGACCCCAAGAGTTAGTAGGGGTAACCTCCATATGCATGCTGTTGAATACTTTTATTGCTGATCTTTTACCACATTCTTTCAAACAAACCATGTGAGTGTTATGTCCTGGGTGTGCTCTTTTTAGGAGGAGAAAATTTTTGGCTGATAACAGTTGTGCATCTTTTTGCTGGGGTGAAACTATGGGACTAAGGAGAAGCATGTGTAGAAGGCAGCCTGCCTCTTTTCCTCTTCCTCTATTGCAATATACAGCATCTCAAACCTTATATAATAGTAATAATAAGCACCAATATTTCACAGTTCTCTGAAGGAGAAATAAAACAATGAACAAAGCTTCTCAGTTCACTTTGCCTCTAAAAAAAACACTCATCAAGCTCAATTTCATGCTGCCTAAAGAAACTGAAAAAAAAAAGCAAGGCAGAATTAAAGAGGCCAATACCTTCGAAAAAATAACGAAAACAACAATGCACTATTTTGTTGCAAGCCCTGCCTTTCTATATTAATGTGTATCACAGTGCATTAACAAAAGTAATGGAGCTTGCAGTGCAATGGCATAACATTGCTTTCATTATTTGACTTCCCTTGATTCCACCCCCTCAACCCTGACTAATTAATTTTGAAGTGATTTATACATTTCCTTTCAACCATCCATTAATGATGTCAAAATCATTATGCACTGATGGAAAGTTCCATCAGCTTTGGAACTTGAAGTGGCATATGGTCCATACTGAAGCAGTTCACTTCACCAAACTTCAAAGAGAGAAAAAAAGGGGAGCCATGATATGACTAGAAGCTAAGACATAGATAGAACTATAAGGAGATAGTGATTCAGTGACCCAATTGCTAGAATGTTCACATGGTGAAATTTGTTGAGTCCCATAGCAATCACTTGTTCTGTAATTTATTATTGTTTTGGCCTCTCATCAATTACTTAACATTTCTTTCTCTCATAGAGTAATTTCTGATCATACTCCAGTTCCAGGGATCAAACCAGAATCTAGGATTCTGCTTGCCGTATGCATTTAATTTGTGCCTATAAAAATTATTCTGCTCTGCCCCAAACATCTTTTATTATTTTGTACAGATCACTCCAGCTCTTTTTAATTTCTTCCAAACTATAGCTAGCATTAATAGCTTACATCAGAGGTAGCATTCAGCTGACCAGTTCTGAAGAACCAGTAGCAGAAATTTTGAATAGTTCAGAGAACTGGCAAATACCACCTCTGACTGGAGATTTTACAGCAGCTTTGCTGGCTGAGGAATTCTGGGAGTTGAAGACCACAAGTCTTAAAATTGCCAAGGTTGGACACCCCTGTTTTACAGCATCTTTCCCCTGCCACGCCCACCAAGCCACACCCACAGAACCAATAGTAAAAAAAAATTGAATCCCACCACTGTTTGACAAACAGTAGCAATCCCAGAACCCTCTGCAGAGGCAAACTGTCCTGGGTATCCTCTACTGGAAAAGGGGACTGCAGAATACTTACAGCCTGTGAGAACAACTGAAAGCCACAGCCCTTTTAATCTTAACATTTCTTTAATGCCTAACTTTCCTGTTTTCACCAGTGGGAGGAGCTGCTTTATATGTGCTCTCATATACTACGAAGAACCTTTTTCAGCGTACTCTTACAAACCCTTCAAAGTACAAATATAATAAATTCTAAGTAGAAAATTAAACTTCTGAATCAAAAATGACAGTAAATGCAAGCTCTCACCTTTATAATAATAAATTGTTTAAATAAATTAATAACCCATTTTATAAAACTGTTTTTTTTTAGAAGGCATAACTAAATGGTATGGTGGTGGTGGATGAAATACTTACTTTCTTTTCCCCTTCTTTAAAATACCCAACTTTCTAAATGTGCAATAAAAAGGCCAGGTTTTTAAATAATGAGACCTGTTCCATATTGATAAAACTTTTTCACAGAAAGGTCAGCAATAGAACTTAAATTATTACAACAGAACTACAGTTTTTTGTAATTATTCCTACCTTTTTTCAAGGTTCAAGGGAGCTTGCATCATTTATTTTATCCTCACACAGCCCTGTAAGGTAGGTTATGACTATGCTATGATAGTATATTAAATAATGTATGGGTTTAAGATCCAGGTGATCAGAATCCAGGTCTTCCATTAGTCTGAAGCTCAGCTGGTGCATTTGGGTCAATTATTTCCTCTCAAGCTAACATAGCTGAAAGTTCCTTGAGATTCTAGAGAATATGCAAGATGTATACAGTATATAATGAAATGTATGTTTATTTTATATCCTGCCCATATAAAAGACCATGGGAAATTCATATAAAATAGAAAAGTCAATAGTCAATATAGCTTTATATTTAAAATATCAAATCTCTAAGAAAATGTTAAAACTGACTGCATACTGGATTGCATTAGTAAAATTTTAAAACATCTAGGTATTTTGGGGTAAGGGCAATGGGATTTTTGGAGTTGTGGTTGTAACCATATGATTGAAGCCCTACCTTTTTTAAAATATGTATTGACACCTGTTAAAGAACAGCTGAAAATAGATTTAAATAAAGATTGGAGATATTTGTTAATCCACCAGAAAGGAATGATTGTGTTCTAACACTAATCCAATTTGTACACAGAAACCATCATCTATGTTCCTAATAATATTGTCTTGGTTGAAAGGCATCTTAATATTTCAAACATGGCATACCAATATCTCCACCCCACTTATGCATTTAAGTTCCACATAGCTTATCTAATACTTTTTTCTTTTTGTATCAAAACAGTGAAGAGATGGAAACTATTATCTCCTGCCCCAGAAAGATCTGCTCTGATACACAGCAGATGCTGGAACTGTTTTGTAATAACTTTTCTTTTCAAGAATGAAACTTCTGTTCAGACGTTTTTATATGCTTGTGTGCTGTTTAATTAATTTCAGTCTAGCATGCTACATAAAGCCTGACAGTATGTACTACAATAGTTGGTATCTATTTCAAAAATGGTTCAGAATTTATGTTTGGGACTTTGTCTTAGCACTGCATAACTCTGCTATTCATTAAAATAGCATATGATTCATTCATTTAAAAGAATACATGACATCATGATAATAAAAAATCTAAATAAAAATAATATAAAATCCAATTAAGAATATTGATAATATCCAAAAGGGTTGGAGGCTTCAGTAATGTCCTGGCAATAATGCCCTAGGAAAATGCCAACCAGAGGACTTCTGGTTTGGGCTTCTTCGGCGACAAACCAAAATCCGCAATTGTGCACAGCTTTGATCCGTGCTCACCACTGGAGCGCCCCGAGCCGCCCAGATTCGGAGCTGAAGCCATCCCATAGAGGTGGTGAAGAAGGGGGAGCCATCAACAGGGTTGAGGAGAGCTGCATCTCTCCTCCTCAGCTGGCCATTACTCCCTTTCCTAAAGGCGGTTGCAGCGGTGGTCAGAAATGGCCACCTCAAAGAAGAACCCGACTGGACAAGATTGTGCAGGAAGAAGTTTAAAGGAGAAAGTTTGACTGACCAGGTTGAATGGAGAACATCTATTTAAGGTACCTGGAACCTGAATTTTAAAGACTAATACTATTCCTAAAAAAGTTCTTAAGCGGCAAAAGAGAAAGGAAACAGAATTGGCTTTTTTTCCCTTTCATATTGACAGTTTTAATTGACTTGAAACATTAAGAAGAAGAGATTCGAATAAGAAATTGATACTAACCACTTTGACATTAATAGGCTATTTCTAGCTGAAAATAAAGTGTCAAAGGGATAAAGATTCTTGGATAATTTAATTTTTTCTTAAAAAAAAGAAAGAAAGCAGAGGAGGGAAAAAGGAAACAAGAGGGTGGAATCTGGAAAATGGAGGAGACCACCTGGAACTTAAAAAAATTGATAGAATTTTAACAAGGCTTGCAAAAGGTACATTGTAGCTGAAACTTTGTTACAAGATAACGAAGCCCCTAGAAAGAGAAAGTGAGAAAAGAAGCAAGAAACAGTTTTGGGTTATTGGATGATTCCTGGAATTTTGGTTGGTGGATCCTAATGAAACAAAATAAAATCAATTGGGGGTTGTTTAAATTAAAAAAAAAAGGCATCACTCCTTGAAGAATTAAAAATGAGACTCAAAGAACAAAAAGAAGCACAAAAGGGAAGAGGATCTTTTGGCTTCATATTTCAATTTTTAGAAATGGAGATTTTTGAACTTTGAAAAACTATAAGAAACGCTGGCAGAACAAAAAGGATGGGATAAAGAAGAAGCCATCTTTAATGACCAAGCAACTTTAAGTGGGGTAAAAAAGGGAAAGCAGGGAAAGGGAGTTAAAACCTTAAGCAATGAAGCAACAACCAAAAAAAAGAGTAAGTTGAAAAGCAATCATCATATTCGGAAGAAGCAGAAGGGAGGATCACAGAAGGGAGAATCAGACAGAAAAGGGAATAAAAAGGGGAGGGAGAAGAAGAGAGGGAAGAGGGAAAGGAAAAGAAGCTACAAAGGACAGAAACAAGATATAAAGGTACAGGAAAAGCGTGCAAGAATTAAAGGTATAAACCTATTTAAAAGACACAGATACAATGGTTAAAATTTAACTTAAGGGCAGGATTCTGCAAGAGTGCATGGGATAGCATTGTTATATTAGTAGAAAAGGGTTAGAAAATATGTTTAGATGATTAAAGTGATAGAAAAAATTTCTATTGATGTGTAATGGAATATTTGTTTGTAAAGAGAATAAGGCTCTCAATGATTTAAAAAGAAAATTAAAAAAACTGAAAAGAAACATGGAAGATTTTTATCAGTTGACAGGATGAATTTGAATAATAATTTTATTGACTACTGTTAATAACTATTGTTTTGTTTTTTATTTAAAGACAGTAATAAGTAAAATATGAAATATAGATGATTAAAGTGAAAGACTACTCATATTACTAGGTAATGTTTGCTAAAAGAAACAGAAATGTAAAAGATTGTTATTAATATTAATGGCAGAGCTGTACTTGAATAGAATAATTATTCCATTTACTATTGTTATACATATATACACAGATATATATATACACATATACTTTTTTCTTTTAAGAATTTAGTGTGTATTTAAAATGTACCAAGCAGAATTCGATTGAAAATAGGTATGCGTTATAAAATAGAGGTTAAAAAATGAATGTTATAACTGTAAAGGTGTAACTTAAATTTTTAAACAAGATTTGAAAAAAAGATACAAAGGTTTTACACTCCAGTCTAGTAATTACAGGGGAAAATTTGTTTTATGAGAAAAGATAATATGAAATTGTACACAGGACAGATGAAAATATAAAAACATTGATTAGAAAGATTTTAAAAATTATAAAAAGATATGTAATTGAATTAAGAAAGGAATGAGATAATTTAAAATAAGGCTATAGGAAGTAAAGAAAGGGAAAAGCTATTGAAAAAATTGTGAAAATAGTTATATGGATTAGAATGTATAAGATAAATATGTATTGAGTTTATGTCTTTATGGAGAAGGATAACCCGGGGTCATGCTGTTCTCAAAAACAGATATTTTATTTGTATTTATGTTTTGTGATAACTTAAATAAAACGTTTATAAAAAATAAAATGCCAACCAGGGTGGGTGGGTGGGAGGCCATCAGGCTCTTAGAGGAAAGGCTGTTTCCATTTCTTGAGGTTAACTTCTAAACCCTTTACAGTATAAAATTTATTTAATTCAAAAAGGGTATCTATTTGAATATACATCTATGTTTATTTATTTTATTTTATTTATTTGATTTATATTGCCGCCCATTCACCAATGGCGACTCAAGGCAGCTTACACAATGTAAAATCATATTTAAAACAAAAAATAAAAACAAAAACAATAAGAACTAACAAAAAGAATCAACTAAATTATTAAAGTACAATAGAAAAAAAAGGGAAAACAAAAAAAACCAAAACCAAAAACCACCCCCCACCCTGACGACAGTGGATCACACTAGCCATTTGATGGGTTCCATCCCTCTCAGGGTTCCCCAGGCCCGCTGGCAAAACCAGGTTTTCAGTGCCTTTCAGAATAGTATTAATGAGGGGGCCATTCTAATTTCTGGGGGAATGATGTTCCAAAGAGATGGAGCCACCACAGAGAAGGCCCTTCTTCTGGGTCCCACCAAGTGTATCTCCCTCAGGGGTGGGACCCGCAGCACTCCTTGCCTCTTCGCTCTAATGGGTCAGGTAGATGTCACTGGCAAGAGATGTTTCCTCAGATAACTGGACCCAAGCCATGAAGGGCTTTAAAGGTGACAACCAGCACCTTGAATTGCATCTGGAAGCAAATCTGTAACCAATGTAGCTCCTGCAGGAGAGGTGACACATGTGCACACCTGGGTCTGCACAAAACCATGTGGGCCTCTGCATTTTGCACCAACTGGAGCTTCCAGATGCTCTTCAAGGGCAGCCCCATGTAGAGTGTGTTGCAATGATCAAGACGGGAAGTGACCAGGGCATGAGTGACTGTGAGTAGGGACCTTTGGTTCAGGAAAGGGCATAACTGGTGCACAACCCACGGTTGCACAAAGGCCCTCCTGGCCACGACCGCCACCTGCTCTTTGAACAGGAGTCATGAGTCCAGGAGAACCACTAGATTACGCACAGGATCTGTTTGTGGTAATGCCATCCCATCCAAGACTAAAGGTGGTAATTCTCCCTGAACCAACGAACCCCAGATTCAGAGCCACTCAGTCTTGCACAGGTTTAGTTTCAACCCATTGGTCCCCATCCAGACCCTAACAGCCTCCAGGCACTGTGAGAGGGAGGACACAACAACACTTAACTCACCATGAGCCAAGACATACAGCTGAGTATCATCAGCATATTGGTGATACCTCAGTCCATGGTGACAGATGATTTCACCCAGTGGTTTCCTATAAATGTTGAACGGGAGTGGAGAGAGTACCGAGCCCTGCAGAATCCTGTAAAGCAGTGGGCGAGGGTTGGATCTCTCCCTTCCTATCAACACTGACTGAGAGCAGCTGCAGAGGAAGGAAGTGAACTAAGACAGCACAAGGCCTCCCACTCCCATCCCCTGAAGCTGTCCCAGGAGAATCCCATGGTCAATGGCATCAAAAGCCGCCGAGAGGTCAAGTAGAGCAAGGATGGATGCACTACCTCCATCCTGCTCCCGCCAGAGATCATCCAAAACTGCAACCAATGTCCCAAATCCAGGCCTGAATCCTGACTGGTAGGGGTAGAGATAATCTATTTCATTCAGAAACCTCTGGAGCTGCTGCGCGGCCACCTTCTCAACAACCTTCCCCAAAAAGATTGGAAACAGGTCGGAAATTATCCAACCGGGTGGAGTCCAGTGATGGCTTCTTAAGAGGGCGAACCACAGTTTCCTTAAAGTGCTGGGGCACTGTCCCTTCCTATAGAGAAGCATTAATCACCTCCAGTGTCCACCTGTCACCTCCTGGAAGCTTTCACAAGCCAGGAGGGACATGGGTCTAAAGTACAGGTGCTCACGTGCATACTCCCTAGATCCTGTCCACTTCCTCAGGAGCAACAGGGTCAAACCGTTCGCAGATATCAGGGGAAGAACCTGTCACAGTAGCTTCCACCAGATCAGCAACCACGCCGGCATCTAACTGGGAACAAAGTCAAGCGATTTTGTCTTCCAGAAAATCCGCAAATTCCTCAGCGCACCCCTTCAGGTGGACCTCAATCTCCTCCTTTCCTAAGAGGAGATGGCTCACCTTAAAGAGGGTTGCTGGGTGCTTATCTGCAGATGCAATTAAGTGTGGAGTATTTACACTTTGCCTCATGAATTGCTACAAGGTAGGCCTTAGTAGCAGCTCTTACCCGTGTTCGATCAAGTTCATCTCCTGTCTTCTGCCAGCGGCACTCTAGATGTCTCCTCATGCATTTCATCCCTCTCAGTTCCTCTACATACCATGGGGCACAGAGAGGTCTACGGGTGAGGAGAGTTCGCAAGGGAGCAATCCTATCCAGAGCCTCAGTCACCTTCCTATTCCAAACAATGACTAAGAGCTTGGCTGGACTGCATAATTGATCTGCAGTTAAAAATCCCAGCTCCTTTTGGAACCTACCTGGGTCCATTAGTCGATGGGGACAGACCAATCTAATAGACCAATGTAATAATAATTCTATGATTAATTATAGAAGTACATTTCCATGAAGTCATTATTTCATAGGGCAATATCCTGTGATCTCAGGATACTAACTCAGAGGCTTAGGATCCCTCTTTGGGTCTATCCTGAGAACCACATTGGAGGAAATATAAGGTTACATTCTGTTTTACACTTCCTTCCCAACTAGATTTTTTTTTTTTAGTGTAAGAAATATTTACAAGGAACATCTTGCAGATATTAAGTAGATCGACTGGGTATTAAAGTCTTGGATTATAGATAACTATGTCCTGAGTGTGAGCAATATTTAGACAAACTCACTAGGAAAGGCGGGGGGGGGGACATTTCTCTGTCCCCAGTAAGGCTGAAGTCATACGGAATCTTGGAGGTTTTTCCCACCGCTGAAGCTGGCTTCCCTGACATTCCTCACTTTTGGGGGGAAGGCTTAGGACTCCTAACACTGCAAGCCCTGAAATTAAATACTGCACGGACACAGCAAAATACAGCCAGACACAGGTTCCATTATATACAACATGCAGTGGATGCTTAATAAAATATTGGAAGAGTATTACAGTATAATTTTAATATCAATGAGTAAATATCATTAGGGATTGTGTAAAGCAAGCAGAAGCAGAGGTGGTATTCACCAGTTCTGAAGAACCGGTAGCGGAAATTTTAAATAGTTCGGAGAACCAGCAAATACCACCTCTGACTGGAGATTTTACAGTATCCTTCCCCTGCCACATCCACCAAGTCATGCCCAAAGAACAGGTAGTAAAAAAAATGTATTCCACCACTACAGAAGTATATTTTCACATCACATATGAATTTCAAAATATTCACATCTTTGAACAACTTTTGCTACATAATGCACAGGATTTTAATTGGGATTATCTAATGATAAATGTAAATATTCTGAGAATATTTCCCATTGTTGCTAGGCAAATTTGTGCAGAATTTAATAGGTATTGAAAAACTTCAACAAAATTGAAATCTTTGGACAGCATATTTTGGCAAAATGTTATGACTTTAAATATCCACAGCTGTACTGGTGGTAAGCCAAGATACACATCTAATGTGGGTAAACAATATTATTTTCTAGCTTTCTGTTTAAGCACATTAAAGATTTAAAAAATATTAATTTCTTTTCAAGTAATTCAAGTAAGTGAGAGTGAATCAGTGGTGGGATTCAATTATTTTACTACTAGTTCTGTGAGCATGGCTTGGTGGGCATGGTGTGACTTGGTGGACATGGATTCAGTGGATGTTATGTGGAATCCCAACATTTTAATATAAAAGTATATCTCAAGGTAGATGTTCTGATAATAATATAAATGTTATAATGTAAACGTTTTGCTGATTTGTCCAATGTGAAGAATAGTCTGTATACACAAATATAAAATACCAAGTGCTTAATAGATATTAACATTCACTATAGGATGTATGATTTGTAACCAGAAGTCATTAAATTGTGTTACTTCAGTAGTATTTACTAAGTTGCAGTGTTTAATAAAAAAACAACAGGTAGAGGTCCTTAGTGCAGGGCTCTCCAACCATGGCAACTTTAAGACTTTTGGACTTCAACTCCCAGAATTCTTCTGCCAGCTGGCTGATGAATTCTGGGAGTTGGTCCACAAATTTTAAAGTTGCCAAGGTTAAAGACCCCTGCCTTAGTGAACCAGCAGCACTCATTCAGCAACCATTCAAATTTACAATGGCATTGAACAAGTGGTACTTACGACCAGTCCTTGCAATTAAAATGATAATAGCATCTCTGTGGTCATTTCCAGCCTTCTTTGCTGGTTTTCTATAAGTAAAGTCAATGGGAAAACTGGCAGAAGGTCAAATTGGGGAACACATTACATCCTCACTTAACAGTGGCATAGGATTCACTTAAGGATAGTCATGTGATCCTACGCTTCATGACAGCATCACTTAGTAACAGAAATTCCAGTCCTAATTATCATTGATAAGGGAGAATTATCTGTATGACAGACACAATTGCACTGTTAATTCAGTTTTTAATAGGAAAATTAGTGATACATGTATTTTATGTAACAATTGCACATTGCTCCTTGTATTTTTTTGGCACATTTGTTTACCTCTCATAACTTTTTTTTCATATACATTAGCATGCTGTGGAAGATGTTACATTTTGTAAAACCCATTTAAAAGATAGCATGCCATCAAAAGCATTATACTATGCTATACACAGGTCATAGCCTGTAATTTGGTAAAAGCCACCGTGGATTGCAGAATGGATAAAAGCCAACGTTTATAAAAAGTAGATGAGATTTGTATTTGAGAGCTCTTATGGATAATCTACTTTAAAAATGACCTTAATTTCATAAAATGTGTATGTTGAAGTCATTATATTTCTTAAAACTGTCTTATTTGTTAGTTAAATTTATTTATTGTCTATCCAGCAATGGGGCTACTCTAGGTCACTTACAACAATATAGTCTATCAGATGTATTTGTTTTGTATGATAAACACATTATGAAGAAATTCTCATATTTCAAGTTATTTGATTAAATTATAGTTTGTTTGAATGACTGATTATACTTGAGCTGCACATAAAAAAAAAAAAACCAACAAAAAGTTGGAATCAATTTTAGCAGTTTTGGATTGCATTTAGGGACAAAGTCACACAATCTTTATCTGTTCAGCAAAGTGGGTTCATAAAATGCTATTGCTTGAGATTTTTGTTCTGGAAAAACAGAACTGTTTTGTTCTGTTGTTTCCCATATTAGCATTTATATGACACTGCTGGAGGACTGTTTATACTCCATACCAATATGTGGGTAGCACATAGTTCTACTTGTTTTCCGTATATTAATCCTATAAACATTCCAGAACTTGTGAATAAATATCTGGAGCAAAATTAATATAGCCAAGGCTGAAGACTGAATCAAGATAAGACAAGCATCAAGCATGGAGAAATCTATTGATGCAGACAGAAGGATTAAACTATTGTTGGATAACACTGAATTCTCTTCTGAATTTTGTAACATAAGGTAACTTCAGGAATCAATTTTGTGAAAATATAGGTAGTGGTCATCAGCAAAGACCCTTCAACAATTTTGTGCAGTTACTTAACTTGTTATCCTTGAACTTTGTGCTTGATATAGAAAAAAATGAAACTCTGACTTTGGATTTTCCCCAAAAGCCATATAATAATTCCCTCAACATTGTTCAACTATTTACAAAGTCTGCACTACTATTACTATTAATCTTCTCATCACTCCTTATCATCCATTCCCTCCCACTTGTGACAGTATGACTGTAACTTTGTCGCTTGTATCCTTATGATTTATATTGGCTGTTTCCTAGTATGATTTGATTACTTATTGTACCCTATGACTTTGTATCTTGTTTCTTGACTCTTGATGAATATCTTTTCTTTTATGCACATTGAGAGCATTTGCACCAAGACAAATTCCTTGTGTGTCCAGTCACACTTGGTTAATAAAGAATTCTATTCTATTCTATTTTATAGATTAGACTGATAGATCTTTATAGAGATGGCTTGTTCATAATATTATGGAAAAGCAAAAAAGTTGTTATTTGATGTTAATGCTTTATTTTACTGTAACAAAATCGGAAATCAATGCTTCTTTTTCTTTTCATCTTTCCTCACGTCTCTTCCCTCCCCCCACTGCTCTTCTATTTACTTTTGTATTTTGTAGTTTACAATACTCGATGACTCAATGTTTACAAAAAAGAAGTGACAAAGAAATAACTTTTTAACTAGCAGTGTTAATTAACTTTTGCTTAAAGTGTAAATTTAAATGCATTTTTTTCTTGATTATTCAATCATGCACAGAGGCAATCCTAGAATGCAGTTGCTAAGTTTACAACTCCGGATCCAATCTGGAAGGATAAAATTCCTCAATCTGGTGAACTATTTCCTTCCATAGTTGTAATGATATCCCCGATCTACTCATGCTCTAGTTCTTCCCGTTGTGCCTTTTTTTCTCCCCAATCTGACATGAGAGGGATATGAAAAACAAACAACTGAAGGGCTGGAGACATCTGATTCAGATTTCAATCCACAAAGATTGAGTTCATCCTTTTATCTCAGATAAAAATGTGGTATTTCCAATGGATTCTGGAAAGTCACTGCAAATATGATAGGTAACCTAAATCTTCTTGATTTAAATGACCCCCTCCCCACTACAAGTCTCATAAATTCTGGCTTCCAAGAAATGATGCTCCAAGCTTGTCCCCCCCCCCCCCCATTCCTATTTAACATCTACTGGGTGGGGTGACATATCACCAACCCTTTAATCATATCCAGCTTTCTCCTTTGATTCCACTCAAACAAGACTTGAGTGGTCTTCAGCATTTGTATCTCCTGGTTACAAGGTTCTTCCACCTCTGGTTCTGTATAGGGTGCTGTTCCAGATGGACTTGATGTGTCCTTCGGGGATCTTCCTGAACTCACAGTCATGGTTAAAAGGGCTTTTGCACATCTGTGGCTCATAAGCCAGTTGTGCTTATTCCTGGACTGGGAGGCTTTGCTAATGCCCTTGGGACCTATTGTCATGATTACTGCAATATGCTGTACATGGGGCTGCCCTTGAAAATTATTCAGAAACTTTATTTGAAGTAAAATGCAGCTGCACGGATAGTAAGTAACGTCAGATATTTGACATATGAAATACCACCATTTGGTTGCCAATGTGTAATTCAAGGTGGTGGTTGTCACCTTTAAAGCCCTTCATGGCTTGCGATCAAGTTAATTGAGGAACCATTTTGTCTCAGCTGTTTCTACCAGTCCAATTCAGTATAGCATACGGGACATATTACATCTTGACAGCCAAGGAATATCAAGTGTTGGGGACCACGAGACTTATGTTCTCAGCTATACTTTCTACCCTCTGGAACATTCTCTCTTCAGAGATTGGGATGACCTTGATCCTGTTGGTCCTTTGTAAGGAAGGCTGTGCAAATATAGTTATTAGCCCAGGCCTGGGGCCCTAAGTGCATTAAGGGCTCAGTTACTTGCTATTTGAACATGCAAGGCAATAGTTTATTCAGCATCTCTCTCTCTCTCTCTCTCTCTCTGTATACACACACACACACACACACACACACATAATTTTTAACTGTTTTATATTTTTGTGATATATGCAACACAATGTTAAGATGGACAGCTATAGAAATTAAATAAATTCATGAAATCTTATCACTTGCTCACTTAACATCACACCAATACATTTTTATAAACAGTATGTTTGCAATTTGAATATCTTTTTATAAGCAAAACATTCTAGAAAGGCATTATAGTTTTTGGTTTTCTATGCCCAACTTCTCATCATTGTTATTATTTCAATTTTGATGCCATTTGATACCAACAAATTTATCCAAATTGCAAAATAGGATTAAAATAATAAAAAACACAATGTCTGAATATTATAGTAACTAGAACTAGAAATGACAGACACTCTGATTCGATGTAACTCTAGGCAAACCAATAGGTTTAAAAGTTTTCAGTATTCACTTCTTCTAAATAGAAAGGTTCTTTTCATTGACCCAATATGACACTAACAAGTTCCTTTCTGAACTTTCTGTTGGAAATTTTTTTTATTTTATTTTCACACCTCAAGTTTTTTTTAAAGAGCTCAAGGTAACTTTGATGGAAAATACTCCTTGCTTTTCCTCAGTTGTAAGTTAGGTTAGGCTGAACAAAAAGTGACTGATTCAATGCCACTCTAGGTTTCATGAACAAGGTAGTATGAATGTGGTTCCCCTTGGACCTAGGCTAAAACTTTTAACGATAAGACTCTACTGACTTTACTATCAACCAGTTCTACAATTCAACAAAATTAAATTAAGTTCCTGGAACTCAGATTGCTTCTTCAATGATTAACAGTACAAACAAGATGTTTCAAATCAACAACCATGTCTGCAGTTTATTTACTCTGCTTTAATTAGCTATAACAAACAAGAGATTTGAATTATATTTTAACTCTATAAGTAGAACAATTGCTATGAAAATCAGTGATGGAATATATGCTCACACATATATTACCACTGATTACATTAAATTCAATCTCTTTTCTCTGTGATTCAGGTGCAATGTTGGTGCTTCTGGGCTAAGTAATAGATTTATTAATTTATTTAGAATACTTAAGTCTAAAAAGACTGCTGGTTATATAAGAACAATAATACTAGCAATGCAATAAATTAAAATGATCAATAGCAAGTTATCAACATAAATCCTTAACTTACCATTCTCTAAAGGTCTTACTTCAGCTTGACTAAGCTATTCCAAAGGAAGAAAGCCCTCACACAAAGACTAATTTAATCTTCCATCTTTTCCTTCCATCACACCTTCATGAGATATTTTCTGTTTGTTAGATAATTTTATCTTTACCATGAGTTGGAG